GTGTATACATATATTGGAGCATCACAAGGTACCTGAATTAGTAACATCAAAATTTCTAGGAGTAGGGCTCAGGCATCAACATTTAAAAAATCATGCTAGGTAATTTCACTGTGCAACCAAGATTGATAACTACTGGATTAGCCTACTGTTCTAGTCTGGAAGCCTCTCCCCTACCTCTGGAGGTACTGTGTAAGTGTCTGAACACAATGGGGAGCATCCAACTTGCTGAGTGATTATAATGCAGGTGGGGAGCCTTCGGCCAGTAGCCAAAGATCCCAGTAGTTTTTAAATTAGCTTCACATATTGACCAAGTCACTTCATTATGCAGAATGCTGCAGGAAAAAGTAAAAGAAATGTAATTTCTTATAAAAGGAGGCTGTGCTTTACAAGGGAGGACTTTTTTTTTTTTTTGAATACCATTACTGTAACTCAGCAACTCTCAAAATGTGACAGACTAGAAATGAAATTTGGTCCATGTTCCTCAGTCTTCTCCTTTCCTCACTTAGCATGGACCCTAAGCTTATTTTGTACTTTATAAAAATAAATCAATAAAAAATGCTGCATTTTTGCTTTTATCATTAATTCCTCTGTGAAATTCTCTCTTCATTTTTCTCTGTATTTCCACTTCACTTTCTTTTTCTTAAAATAGTCAACCATCCTATGAAGCATCCCATATACTTTGGACCCTAAGTGCTTAGATATAATGTCATTTGACCTTTAGCCTAAACTTCCATTATTATTTCTTTCCTTTTTTTTTTTTCAATCTTCTTAAACAGTTTACAAGCTTCTTAGAGGTGAGGCTCTGGATTTTGATGATTTGGGAGAATCCCTCTTGTCCTAGTATTGGATGTTAATGTTAGTTCTTTCCATACCCCAATGAGTTTAAAAAAACAGTTATGTCACCATGGCTCCACAAGGCAATTTTACATTAGACTTCTTCATTTATCTGCCTCATAGCTGTTTCTTTTCTTTTCTCCTTTCTTCTTCTTCTTTTTTTTTTCTTCTTGCCATAGGCTATGTCTCTTACCAGAGAGAGAGAAAGAAAATAACAATCCCCAGAGGGGATGGCCACACCACAATCCCTTCTCCTTCATTCTCCTCTTGGGATTTTGGGCATGCACATGTGTTTGGTATGATTTTCACACTGCCAGGTCTGGGACTCAAACTGTCATCTGTCACAGGGAAATCTCGGACCTTCTGGCCCTCCTCATGTCCATTTCTTTGAAGTCTGAATTTTGTTCATTGGTAGGGCCTAGCACTTACCACAGGAATAGCAAAAACTATCTCCAAATGAATCCATAAGAGTGCTTATAAGCCTTGATTCTCAAATTGTTCTAAGTACCCTGTCACTGCAGCACAGCCACGCTGTGTGAACTTCATATCCAGAGGAGCAATGTATGGCAATTTGCAGGGTCTTCTTGATGTCTTTGATATTAATGGGACTTTCCTCTTTCTACAATGAAACCATTTGGTAGATGAACAAAAATTCAAGAATCTAGTATTTCTGATGACTTTGTCATCAATGTTTTAAGAACTACTAAAAATCAATCATATTAAACATGAATAATATGATTAACAGATTGATAGCCCTGAATGTTACATTTGTTAAATTTGTTACATTTTTTACTTATTCTAACTTACTAACCTATTATTGAAATAAAACCATGGCCATTTTTATTGTGATGATTGAAAAAATCATGAAGAAATCTGACCCAGCCTGGTGGTGCGGTCAGTGGCAGACTTAACTGCAGTGCTGTAAGCCACTTATCCAATCACAGGTTTGGATTTCAGGGTTGACCTAAAAACACACCAGGTGTGTGCATGCATGCCTAGGATCCTGAGGAGCTGGAGGGTTAGAAAAGGGGATCTTGACCTGATGAGACCTTGTCAAGTGTGCTTCTCTCTTTCTCTATCAAGCTCTGGCTGTCTCTAGGGTGTGTGCACACTCTGTATCAAAAATAATTTATTTTTAGAAGAAAGGAATAAAAAGAAATCCTTTACTTCCTTTACTTTAGAAGTACTTCCAATTCCAGATCATTAAGAACATTCTATAAGATTCTGAAAATGGAATTGAAGTAAACATAAAACATGATATTTTAGGATCAGTTGTCTTCTGGCACTGTAACACTTTGGTGTTCAGTACTTTAGACCTTAACTTTTGCTCCATACAATGTTATCATATATAGAGAGAATGCTTACTCAGTCGTATATAAAGATTGTTTAGTTATTGAAATGACCATCAGCAGAAGCTCTAGATCTTATCTGCCTATCTTATTCACATTATGTCTACCTTTGAACTTTCAGTTTTTGTATTATTATTAATAATACTAATAAAGAAGAAATCAACAGGAAGGTCATGGTTCCAAAAGTCATAGGATTGTATGAATTTAGGAAGGTCAGCTGATACTACTTTTTGCTTTGATCACCCAGAGACTGACTCTTGTCAATATCTTGTTTTCAGTTACTAAGAAACTGATTGCAAGTGAGGCTAAGGTAGACACCAAATACCAATTTATTCATTCCAGTAAGAGTGATAATGCCCACACAAACCACAAATATGAGAGTTGTACAACAAAGGCATAATCTCCTTACAGCTACATGTGAAACCAAGAAATAGTTAAAATTTCCTTTATTAACTTATTCTGATAAATGACTTCACAAAGACTTCAAGAAGTACAAGTTTGTGGACAGCTCGTCAGGGCAGAAATAATGTGCTGCTTAAGCAATGCTGGATCCACATGGAAGACTGAGGGTTCGGTTCCCTTTACGACCTGTACATGCCAGATACACACATCCATGATTCGGGGTGGCTGGGAGGGTTGGGAGAAGGATCATGGTCTGGAACTCTGTTGAGGATGCCTCTCTCTTTCTCAAGAAATAACCTTTAAAAAAAATCAAGTTATTCCATTTGTGCATTCTTTTATGGAAATCAATAGTTTGCTTGTAGAACATGAAATCAGAACAGTGAGAGTTAAATGTTTCTAGTGCTTTGGGGCTATGGCATAATATGACATCAATTTGGTGATAGATATGGTATTGCCAATGAGACTGAAACCGTTCCAACTCTGTTAACTCCATCCCCTATCATCCTTCTTCATACTTGAAGCGTGTAGACTTGGTAATGGGATCAAAAATAGTTGAAAAGTGCTTGAGATGTGATGGCCAAGTGGACCTCTCCTGTAGATAATACTCACATGGTAGCTGCCAGTATTTCCTCCTCTCTCTCTTATTCAGCTCATCAACATCCCAATCATTAACATTTATTTTTAAACACTCACTAATACACTTAATCAGTTCATTGTTAATTATTGCCAGTCAAGGAACATTTCTCAGATGGGAAATTTTGTATTTCATGTTGATTTTTACAGTCAAACTCTTAGAAAGTAATTTACTTTCCTCATCTCAAGTGTTATGAAGGTAGATGGGTCTCACTGTCGATTTAAAGTTTCCAAAATAAACAAGAGCTCTTATTTATTGAATTGTCTACTCTGTGTTAAAGATTCTACTAGTTATTTTTCATAAGGAACACAGTTCATTTTCAGAAAGCTTTACAAGGCAGATATGAGATCTCCCTTTAAAGATGAATAAATGACGATAGGGAGATGAAGTCACACAGCTAGTAAGTGGCAAAATCAGTGTTTTAGACTCAGTTTCGTCTGATTCTAAAGCCCTTATGTTTTTCTACTATCCTGTTATTGTTTAATAAAATATCTTCAATACATGAATATATTTTGCTTTAAAATTTCTAATACTAAAAATAGTATTACCAATGATTAGAGGTATTTCTTTTGGGAATGCATTTTTAATTTAAAAATTAGTGATATATGTGAATGAGGTGGTATGGCATTTAGTGAATACTTTCTACCTCCGCTCCCACTGGTCTAGAATAAGAATGGATGATTTTGTAAACACTTTGCTAAACCAAAAATACAGCTTTCTCAAGCTCAGATCAAGTTGTAAATGCTATAAGAGAAGGTTTTTCAAAAAACTAAACATTTTAACTCAATTCTATTTCTATGTAAAACTTTTAACGAAAGTGAAAGGAACTTTTCATTTAACCCAAAATGTTTGCTATGTGTTTTTAATCGCAAGAATCAAATACAGAAAGAAAATTTAATTTTTCCTCAGTTTTCTTAGGCCATTTTCATATAGGTTATAGCTCATTAAAACGAAACATCCTTCTTTGTATTTTTTTTTTCTTTCATTGAAGTAGTCTAAGGGATAAATAAGTCTGAGAACTCATGTCTAAATCATTTATAACAGTTGTGAAAATAGAATTGAAATATTTTTATATTCTTACTTTTTTACTGTTTTGCAATCTTGATAGTAGAACCAAATGACAAAATTGGATCTTTTAGGGAGGTTGGGAAAGAAAATTCTCAAATGTTTCAAGATTCACAGTGATTAAAATAAAGTATTTTCAGTTTTTAGTATGCCTTAAACAAATATCAAAAACTTTTTGTCAGTTGCTCTGAGGTTTGCTTGTAATCAGTATTTCTATATTTCATAATCATCTTATTTTTCATGAAATTAAAGATTTGTTACAATGGCTATCATTTATTTAGTTTATATTTTTTGATGAAAGAAATTTTAGTTATTTCCTCTTCTTTTAAGCTGCCAACAGTATTTACTATTCATAGATATTCTGTCTTCAATAAGGTCTATCAAAGTGTAAAACTAGATGGGTATTTTTCTTTCCTTTAAAATGGAATGGTCTTTCATTATGCAGTGTTCTTAGGTGAATTCTCTTGTTTAAGAAGCCAGAATACAAGAGAGTGCTATATTAGTGTATTATTCTCACAACAAACAAGCACTGTTCTGTTGCTACCTGCTTGGCCATTGTTTCTGATTGTGTGTGCTTTGCAGTGGTATTTGGATGGTTTCCTGCTCTCTGCTAGCACAAAAAGGCATTTCTGTTACAATGGCCCCTAACCACACAATGACGGCATTAAGGATTTATGTGGAGGTTTCATTATTTTCTCCTCTTTTGTTCCTTCCAGGATGTCTTCCAAGCGACCAGCCTCTCCGTATGGGGAAGCAGATGGAGAGGTAGCCATGGTGACAAGCAGACAGAAAGTGGAAGAAGAGGAGAGTGACGGGCTCCCAGCCTTTCACCTTCCTTTGCATGTGAGTTTTCCCAACAAGCCTCACTCTGAGGAATTTCAGCCAGTTTCTCTGCTGACGCAAGAGACTTGTGGCCATAGGACTCCCACTTCTCAGCACAATACAATGGTAGGTTTTTTTGTGGTCTCTTGTGCCTACACTCACTTTTTGACCAGTTATTCCTCTCATAGTTTGGCTTCAGGCCTTTGCTTTATAATTATCCACTTAATAGCCATAAACAAGATTCACTTCTGGTATCTTAAAATTCTGTACATGTAAATTGGTTCCAATAGTGAGTCTAAAACATGCTTTTTTATCTCTTTTTTTTTTTTTGTATTTAAAGAATCCTGCTTCTGAGACATAATTCAGAAGGGAAAAAATACAAAATATGAGAATAATGTCAAAGTGTAACATGTTTAAAATTAGTCAACATGAAAGTTAGATGTTCTACTGTGTCATAAAGGTTTTCCCAGAGAGGGTTATACAGTGATCATTGTTGGAACATTTCTATCATGAAAATTCATTTCCAATTTTCCCAACCCCCTGCCCTTGTTTTTATTTTTGGCTTTACTCAGATTGGATCCCAGTATTCTTTTTTACCATACTCAAAATTTTGTAGAATATGTTTTCTAATACGACTACACTAATTTCTAACTCAATCTTGTTTATATTATTGTTTTGATAATTCAGTAATTCCCTGTTGCATCCCCTTCTAAAATATGCAACCAACAGTAATTCTTCTGGCACGTAATCTCAGGGTCTGGATCACTGCAGCAGTTAAGAAACTGGGGCTTCATGTGCAAGAGATAAGACAGCGTAGCATCTTCAGCCAAAGTTAAACAGCATGAACATGTGCATGCACACATACACACACGCACACGCTCAAAATAAGGAGGTTTTTGTCCTCTTAGCAACTAAAATACATAGATCATAATGTTAGTAAGGTAGTAGGGTACTTAGCTGCCAGTGCAATCACTCACCTTTTCACCATGGCTGCATGAGTGGATGTCACACTTCTGTGACTTCTCCTTTTCTACTTTGAGGATGCCCATGCTATTCATTTCAACCTCATGACACCAGTAGCTGTATCTTTATCTTATATTCCCATGCCTGTACATATAGTTATAAGTCTGTTAAATTTCTTTTTTCCCTTTTTTCAGGTAGTTATTACATATCATAAATATATTTAATGCTAAAATTTACCCACTTACTCATAATTTTGAATTACTGGACATGGAATTAAATCAATAAGAAGAATCAGATATTTTCTTTTTTATTTTTTTTTATTTTTAGAAGACCGTTTTTATTTAACTTTACTTATTTATTTATTCATTCATTCATTTGTTTATTTCAATTTGACCAGAAAGGGACAGAGAGAGAGAGAATGAGAGAGAATGAGAAAACAAGCTGCCAGGTCTGGGACTCTAACTGCAGTCGGCCATGTGGGAATCCAGCGCCTTTAACCAACACACCTCCTGCCAGCGGCCAAAATCAGATATTTTCTAATGGATATATAATATACTGATTATTTGACTTTCACATTACATTTAAATATTTGCATTCAATGTTTTAAGCCTCATAGGTAAGCATTTCTTTAGGCAATTTCCAAGATTTTCTCACGAAGAATAATGTTTTAACTAACCGTGGTGGTTTATGAAGTTATTTAACCCTCACAATAATTCAGTGAAATGTTATTATTAATTCCAATTTATAGATGAGAAAATGGAGTCTCAGAGAAGTTCAACTAACTTCTTCCAGATCAAAGCCAATAAGTGGTTGAGCTAAGCATTCTGGCTTTGGGATCCATGCTTATAAACTTTATGAACTCCTGCCTCTTCACAAGAGCACAGATATGTTTATGTTCTGTTGGGTCATCAGAAAAGTTATGATGTGTTATTTGCATAAAAGAATGGAAAATCACATCATGATGTCATGACATTTTAGACAACCCAATAATTATCTTAACTTGCAAAGTTAAGTCTTGCTATCCATAGTTTCTCCCTCTTCCCTCCACTGTGAGTTCATGTTAGTTATGTACAGTGGGAACCCCTTTGTCTCCCTCACAGAAGGGCTAGTATAGGAAAAGAAGGGGGAAATGAGTAGTGCACAGGTGAACTGGGAAGGAAGTCAGATTCTCCTTTCGGTATTGGTATTCTCCATTTGGTACTACTAATGCCTTTTCCCTCTCAATATTTTGCACATTATCTTTTCTCAGATAGAACTCAATTGAGATTGTTTCTTAGATTAGTTCTCCTGTGATAGTTCTATAAACATACAAATTTGCAGGATAGAATCTAAATAGATAATGACTAGAAGAATACCAAAAAGAGGAAGGGAGATTGTTTAAAGGACACTGAAAGATCAGTATGAGAAAAGCATATTAAATTACATAATGTAGTTTCATGAGGAGATGCTGTGATGTAGGTAGTTAGTGCAGATGAAACCGTGTTTTAAAAATCCATGATGAAATGCGAACGTATGACGAGAGAATATGAGAGAGAATGAGGCCACCTTCTACAGGGTCATTTATACCCAAATCCCCTTCATTCATCCTTTACTGCACCTGGACTTTGTGTACATGCCATGCTTATTTCCAGGCCAACTGGCGCTAAGACTCAAACTATAGTCAGCATGTGGCTTTCAGGTTCACATTCCTGTAAGCTCCTGACTGCACCACAGAGGCTAGGCCACTTCAAAGTTTTAAAGTAGATTTCAGGATACCAGCAGATGGCATAATGGTTATGTCATTGAACTCCCATGTGGCTGACCATGGTTTAAGTACTGGAGGCTTGAAGCTCATGCTGAACCTGTACATATGTATGGCCAGAACCCTGAGAGGAGAATGGAGGAGAAAGAATTGCAGCTTGGCCATACCCCTGAATGATGATTTCTCACTTTCTGGCTTTCTATTGCTCTCTGTCTTTCTGGTGAGCGTGCACGCCCTATAGCAAAAAATATGTCTTAAAAATAAATAAAGTAGAATTCAGCTTAGCTAAACAAAAATTATGAACTTTTTATTTTTTACCAAGTTATATATTGAATACTATGGAAACAGATTTGAATGAGACACCTTCCGAGGATTTTTTCACTGGGGTCTATAGATCTCTGGAAACAAATAGAGAATTTTGTATATATGTACATGTCTGAGAAGCATTAGGGATTTAGTAAGATTCTTGAGTAATTCTAGGATCCCCCAAAGTTAAGATCTGCTATTCTAGTTGTTAGGTACAAAAATTCACCTTAGTTTTAATGACATCAGGCTCAGTTTTACTAATTTGTTTGTCCCTCAAATGTTTCTTGAGTCCAGCTACTTTAAATCTCTTGAATAGACAGTTGGAAGCATTGCTTATGTGACCTCAGATTTCTAGCCTCTCTTTTCAGTACTTCTAGCATCTGCTAGGCCTGTTCCCCTAAGTGATGACTTGGATTGTTTACCTCACTTTTGTAACTCATGTTATGTCCTGTTGCTTACAAAATTAATCCAAAACTCTTTTTTTAAAAAAGAATGATTTTATTTAACTTTATTTTTGTTTATTTACTTTTATTTTTGTTTATTTACTTATTTTAATGTGACCAGAGAGGGACGGAGCGAAAGCGAAAAGGAGTGAGAAAGCAAGCTACCAGATCCAGGACTCGAACTGTGGTCTGCCATGTGGGAGTCCAGCATACTTAACTCCCTTGCCACCTGATGGCCCAATCCAAAACTCTTTATTTTACTGAAAAACAACATACACTAGCATCGGACTGTGACGTTAGTCTCCTTTCCTACCATTTGGCAATAGGTCTAGTGCTCTGGTCATGCCAGGTTTTCATACATTTCATGAACATACCAAACAGCCTTTGAGTGACACCATTTTATTATTTATACCTACACACTCTCTCTTTTCATATTTATTTTCCTGGTGAATTATGTTTCTTCCACAAGGCTAGGTTCAAAAATTGCCTCCTCTTAGGTGCTTTCACTGACTTCTCAAGGCCGTTACTGTTATTCTTTTATCCATGACACTTACCGCATCTTTTCTCGTGGCCTATATTATAATTTTACACTTACTAGTCTGCCTTTCTCTGTACTGTATTTCTTCTTAATGCACAGCCATGCATATATTTATATTTCTGGGATCTAGCATAAAATAGATACTCAATTTATGATTTTTGACTTAAATGACTGAGTTTGTATGGAGGAGTAAACATTGAATATGTTTTGAGAAAAGTTGTTAAAGATACGAATTCATGATAAGTATTTTTATTTTCTAGAAATTTTAGAACTGAAGTAGAATTTACTAGTGTAATATATTAATAAAGCAGAAAGTGATGATATATTCAGCTATTAAAGTGATAGATATATTTTACTCATTTATTAAAATGATTGGATGTATTTATAGAATTATTATTCAACATGAATGCTTTCTCTTTTTTCTGGATACTAGACCATTGTTATGTTCACATAATAGGTCCTTTTATTTCAGTAAGGAAATACATTCTCTTATTTTTTTCCTGTTTAATATCTTTGAAAACAGAGAGCATTTCATAGTCTTTGTATCATAGAGTTCAACTTAAGGGGAAAAAGGCAGATTTCGTTGCCTATTTTTGTGTGACATTCATCCTTCATTCTTTAAAGAAAAAGATATTGGGAGGTGTATATTGTGTGTTGCCTGAATAGGTTAGAAGAGACAACATAAAACTGTTGAGTGATCCCTGTAATACTGTCTTGGAGTTATGGAGAGATGCTTTCAGTATAAAGCTTAATCTGGTAGGTATTTCCTGAGATGTAAGTTCTATAAATAATAGTTGCCATACAAAGATTTTGAGGAATTAGGGTCCCTTGTTCAGATATAAGGTATCCAGGTATTAAGGAATTGAATCAGATAAAGATGTAATTCTTCCTTTCTGAAGTTCCTTTTAATTATTGCCTTAGTGTCATGAAGAAATAAACTAAGTGCTGAACACAGAGCAATTACTAAATAGCTACAACTAGTATTAATACTACATGTTAATCTGTTCTTGGAAGTTTACTCACTTTTCTGAGTGCTGTATAAATGAAATGTCTTCAGCACACTAGGTGCATATATTCATAAAATACGTTCATATTTCTAATCAATATAAGAGCAAGGCACAGATTGGTGTAAGTC